CTGAACCTTGGTCAAACTGGATGTGTGGGGGAATTTTCACCGGGGAAGTGCCGATGATCCAGTAATAAGGACAGAGAGAAGGACCACACTGGAAGGAGGACACGGGGTGTTAGCTGTAGCCATTGTCTCGATGTGTCAGACACTGTCCTGTGTCCACTGAAAGGCCCCCATCTCTCCTGTTTGAAATGGTCCCTAGTGGAGGTTAAAAATGCCCTCATTTTCCAGCTGTGAAGCTGAGGTTAGCGTCCTCAAGGAATCTGGCAACAGCCGTCTGACAGCGAGCGAGGGCGGAAGCCGACTCTGCGTGCCGCCGTCGCGGCTCCCGTGTGGTCTCTGCAGCTCCCTGTGCCAGGGCCTCATCCACAGCTGTCAGGAAAGGACGATCAGCGGGGACCTCGGGCTGAAACAGGCTGGACCAAAATCCAGGTGGCAGAAAGACAGTTCTCCAGAAAAAGCGACCACCGCGACAAGGATGACAACAGCAAACGAACCCCAAACCAGCCCAGGAAGACACAGCCTGTGAGTGCTTGGGATCCAGGCCACCCAAAGGCCTGTGGTACACACTGCTAGCTGGTGTGGAAGAGGGTCCCTGGGGAAAACTCCCGCCGCTTCTTCCCTACCATATCCCACACACTCTAGGCCACATGTCATCATCTCGGACCAGTCTGAGGTAGCTCTTACAGATTAGGCAGCGCCCTGGGTTCCCACCTGAGAGAAACCCCCATCTGTCTAGCGTCCTCCTGTTTCTGGCCTTCGAAGCCTGGCACCACAGTGGGCAGAGGACCACCACTCCTGTGTCCCCTCACTCCTCCTGCAGACCCATGAGTGCTGTCTGTCTGGCAAGGACACCAGGGTGCGTGGGGCCTGCGGGCTCGGAGGCCCTGTCTTGGCCCTGGAAGAGCACCTCTTCCAAGGCCCTACGAGGCCACGCGTGAAAGGAGCTAGAACGGAGAGGAAGAGCTGGTTAGAAAACGTGGGTGATCTCCACAGAGGCGCTAATGGGAAGTCGGTTTGCTCTGAAGCTCAGGGAAAGAAAGATGTTGTAGCAGAGGGAACAGAATGTGCTAAGATGCAAGGTATGACGCTCATGGCGTGCCGGGACCTGGGAAGGACAGGGCACCGTGGATTCCTCAGAAAGCCGCTTGGCCTGGTTTAGGATGTCAGGAGGTGAGCACTCTACCTGGGGTTTTGTGCTGTTCCCCAGAGTTCTGGGGGGAGGGGAGGCACATGTGCGGGCCACTTGGAGTGGGAGATTGTGACTGGGGTCGCTCTTGGAGCCACCACGGCGGGGAACTGAGAGCCAGGAAGAGTTGGAAGGGGTTGGGGCCAGGGCTCTGTGGCTCTGCCCCGATGGGCGGTCCTCTAGTGGCCTCTGCTACTGGGGTCTTTGGGTGGCGGCTAGGCCTCCGCAGGTCCCACTCTGCTTCCCGTGTGCAGCCTCCGTTTATTCCTGTGTTGCTTTCTTCTCTGCTGGCTGTCCCCCAACTCCTGTCTCTCGTGGGACCTTGATATTCTTGGTGTCTTCTTGCTTCATCTAGTTCCTTGCGGCCCACTGAGGTCATTAGAAGCTGTTGACCATATTTTAAAGATTTAAAACATTTTAGTTTAACTGCCCCTGGCTAAATATACCCTGCTTCTGCTGGACTGGGACTCTCTTCAGCCGGAAAGTCCCATACTGAATCCTTTGCGCTGGGCAGAATAGCCGGATTCCTGCTTGCTGGGGCTTGGGGTCTGGACCGCGGACACTCAGATGTGCGTCCTTTTGCCAGTAGCACCACCCTGGCAGACGAAGCTGGTGTGCAGCATGTTTCCAGATGGGCTGGCCCTGCGGTCGCCGGGCAGTTCGCACAGTCCTGTTACTTAGGGACTTGGGCAAGCACAGAGGAGCCACGCACCGTGGAGGCCACTAGTGGCTGGACTGAGAGGACATGGAAGGAAAGTCAGGCCGCTCACAAGGTCCCTAAAGAAGGATTTCTGGAGGCCACAGAGGGGTATAAGGATTGAATAATGGACCCTTCTCATCCTGGGAACACAAAACAGGACCCTCAGAATAAAAGCCCTTGTCCCCTGGCTTAGCCCAAGTAGGCTGAGCACTCATGGGGTGGGAGAGGGCGGGACAGAAGAAGGCCCTTAGCAGATGACCTGGGGCATCAAATGAGTGCCTAGGACCTGGCTCTGAGTTTGAGTGGCGCCCCCAGGGCACCACGGATTCTCTCTGCTCACTTGCTTATTCCTTAATTCTTTCCTCAGGTGTATCTAGGACCTAGAGTTCATGGAGTGGCAGCTGCTGCAGCCAGCCTCGGGAGTGCAGGAGGACAGGCAGACTTGGGCATGTGAGAAGAAGGCGGTAGTAAGGAGACGACAGCTAAGGTAATGTTCATGGGAGAAGTACAGGGCACAGTGTGGATCTAAGCCAGCGCTGAGCCATGCTTGGGGTACATGGAAGGCCTCCCTGTTGTGGTGGTATTCATTGATTGATCTGTTTATATTCATAGTTTTTTCCCCCCAGTGGAATTGGGGATTGAACTCAGGCCCTTGTGCTTCCCAGGCAAGTGCTTCTTCTACTGAGCCATTTCCCTGGCCTTGAACTTGCATCAACCCTTTGCCTCAGTCTGCTGTGTACTGGGATTACAGGTGTGCACCATGACACCTGGCTTGTCACAGTTTTAATGTAGTGTGTAGGATATAAGCTGAAGTATGCCAGGTGAAATCCGGAGAGGTATCCTGTGGGTAGTGGCATCTACGCAAGCAAAGGCCCTGAGGCAAGGAGGGAGGGGCAGGAAGGGGCAGGAAGGGGCAGAAAGGGGGGCAGGAAGGGGCAGAGCAGCAGGGAAAGGCTGCAGCAGACAGTGGCAGGGAGTGCAGGGCGGGGAGAGCTAGGTGCTGGGAGGCAGAGGCCCTGGAAACCAAAGCTGAGGGCTTATTCATGGGCCTCTGGGAAGCCTGAAGTGTTTTAAGCAGGAGTCAAATGATGAGGTTTGTGCTTTTGAAATCTTGTAGGAAGGGCAGGGGTAGAGGGCCAAAGTCCCTTGGGGAAGCTGAGAGAGCTGAGGGTGGCTGGTTTGAGGAACACAGGAGGAAGGGTGGTCAGGAAGGCTCAGGGCCAGGAGGGAGGGAGGGAGCCCCTTGGTGGGGCTTGGGGAGGGGCGGCCAGCATGAGGGCAGAGATCAGGGATTGATGGGACACGAGGGTCCCAGGGGCAGCATGGCCAGCTTGGTGGGTGAAGAGGCCAGAGGGCAAGGGCCAGAGCTCGAGGGCCCAGGGGTCCTGCTGGACTCTGGGGGAGGACACCTGAGCGAGCTGGGAGGCTTAGGAGAGCTTGCAGCGGGGGATGACCTGTTCTGACTTATGTTTATGTTTAAACATGATCACAGGCCGCTATTTGGAGAAGAGATCCGGGTGGAAGCCGGCAAACAGTGTATTAGGAGCAGCGCAGATGAGGAAAGACGTGGCTTGGGCTAGAGTTAAGGCTATGGGAACAAACTGAATGCTGGGG